TTCTTATCATTGCACCCAGCATACAGAAGGAACAAAATAAGTCTCTTAATCAATAAAAATACAATCTAGAATCAGATGTAGAACACGTACAACGAATAAAGAATGGGATTGAATAAAACAAAGCTAAAGTTTCCACCGAACCTAGAATTTCAAGACTAGAACACAACATATAAAATAATAGAATTGAAATATAGCAAAGCCAAAGAAATCATCCAAGCTATCAATCTAATGTATTGGTCAAGGAATATCAATAGGTAAATATGACGAGAACAAAGTAAGATGGGAACTTACCAGACTTCTTTTCTCAATGATCCCAACGTGGAACGTGCGCAGTGCCCAGCCCACACAAAAGAGAAACCTGATATGAGAAACGAACGTGGGAAAAGAAAGCCCTAAGATACATATATATATATATAAGGCGGCAGCAGCTAGTGATAGCAAGGCGGGAAGTTATGGAGGGAAATCAATAGTTCCCGCTAGAATAAGGATAAAAAAGTAATATATCAGCGGCTAATAAAAAAGCCAACCGCAGAAGCTCCAATTTGGAGCTTCTGCGTTTACGTTATAAAAAGCACTTTTGAGCTTTTTTAAAAGCCCGGCTTTTAGAGGTGTTTGGCCCAACTTCTGCGTTTGGACTCAGAAAGCACTTTTAAAAGCCGGGCCAAACATAGGGTTTATAGACCCAAAGGTTTCCCACTACCTTCTTCCCTGGAGGTAGTGACACGATGTCCCAAGTATGATTGTCAATCAAAGCACTAGTTTATGAGTTCATAACTTGTTGCTAACAAGGTTGAGTACATGACTCCTCAAAAGTCTGGGGTTCTTACACTTGAGATATATTAAGCACAAAGCTTTGAAAATTAGGGGCAAGACAATCATAAGACATATAAGAAGTCATGGAAAACTTGGGAGATTTGCCTGACCCGATCTGGGTACCTACGTAGAGGGGAACTAGGGCTAGGACTAGTGGAAGATGAGGCTGGGGTAGCTTGGATTAAAGGGCGAGACAATTTGGAAGTATCACTAGAGGATGGTAAAGATGAAATAGAACCAGTAGGAAGAAAACTAGGTGAAAGGGGAGTGGGAGCAGTAGGTGAAAGAGGGGTTTTGGGAGAATCAGTAGGTGAAAGAGGGGCAGAATCAATAGGCGAAGAAGAGGTTTTGGAAGGAGGTATTGCTGGAATAGGAAAAGGAATAACAGGTGGATGAGAGTTTGCTGGTGAAGGGATTGACTCCAAATCAGATGAAACAGGTGAAGGTGAAACTGTATAAAGGGAGGTATGAAAAGGGATTATATGTCCATAAAATTTGACATCTCGAGAAACAAAAACTTGATGTGAATCCAAGTCATAAAGCTTATAGCCCTTGATACTAGAGATATACCCAAGAAAGATACATTGACGAGCTCGAGAGCTGAACTTTGTTCTATTACGACCAAGAGTAGCAGCATAGCTGATAGACCATTGATTGCACATGTTCTTACCCCTATTCTTGAGTCGTTTGAGATGTTGATTCTCGTGTTTTGAGCCGATTTCACGCTAGGTTGTGTGTTTATGTCATATTTCAGGGCTTGGCGTTGGCATCAAGGCGAAGAAACGAGTTTCGGGTCGAAAGGAGCACGTTTGAGTTGAAGTGTGATGGAGGAGCAAAATACCCGGCCATGACCAAAAAATACCCGGCCGGGTAATAATCTGAGCAGACCTGGGAAAATGACTTTTGGACGTTTGAGAAACAGAAGGGGGCCGGTCGTAGCCCTTAAATCCCCAGTCGGGTATTCTTGACCTTGATCGGGGATTAATCCCCTGTCCTTGATGGTGCGTTTCAACAATCCCTGGTCGCCACCTAAAATACCCGACCGGGTATTGTGACTGGGGATCGCGATTGACAGCTTCTTAAGGGAAAAGAAGGGCAAAGTTGAAGGGTTCCGAGTTTTAGAGAGACAAAGCGTATACCTAGAGAGAGAAAGTGACGAACCTGATTCTTTAAGCGCCTTAGAGCGATCTCCATCACCATTGGAGCCCGGCTTGAGCTTGGAGAAGTGCTGATTGATTGCCAGAAGCAGAATCTCATCCTTCACAGTATGGTTTCTGCATCTGAGCTAGATTTCCCATCTCTCTCTATGAAGTAACTTTCTCATTCACCTGGGTATGAAGAACCCTAGATTTGTATGTTAGGTCTGATTTTATGAACCCAAGTACGAATTCAGTGATATGATTATATTCAATTTAGGTTTGATTTCTTGAATGGCATGAATCCTGATCAAATTCCTGTTATTTCTGCTTTGACCTAGAAAGAGAATATCGGCCTAGGTTGATAGAGCACCCTTGATTGAAGGTAGTGAATTGGCGACTTTAGTCGAGGAGTCAATTCACTATTCTGTACTGGATTAACTTCGGTAGAGGAGGTTTGGTTCGTTAGGGCCTCAATCTGTTTACTCCGGTGGAGGTTAGTAGCCCACTGGGGACTCAGATTGAGAGGGTCTGGAGACCTTTAGTCGAGACTGCAGACTGTTTAAGAACCTCGCGCATTATAACTATAAGTGAACTTGAATTTAGTAAATTACAATCCAGCTTAACTGCAGTCTAGGGGGACCCATATCCGGGTGACCTCTCTCAACTTGAAAACAACCTTTTACTGCTTTGCTTGTTTGGACCTTCACTACACTTTCGCTGCTAAATAATAAGAACTCACGGAGTAGTCCTCATACTTAGGACCCGGGTTGACATTAAAACCCAAACCCGCTATACTACGCTCTAGTAGGTGGTTACACTTGGCCATTTTCTAGGGTGACGATAGAAGCGAGTCAATAGCAAAGTGCACCAAAGACACACAAATTGGAGAGGTCTGGTGGTACACCATGGATGAACTCGAATTGGGTTTTGTTGGAAATGGCTATGCTAGGTGTCCTATTGATCAAATAGACAGCATGAACAACAAAGTATGGCCAGAAGGAAAGAGATAGGCCAGATTGAAAATGAAGTGCACGAGCAACGTTTAGTATGTGTTGGTGTTTGCGCTCAACTCTAGCGTTTTGTTGGACTGTTTCAACGCATGACATTTGGAAGAATTCTTTCATTTGAAATTCAGAACCTTGATCACTACAAATGATTTTGATTTTGTGTTTAAATTGGCGATCAACTAGAGAACAAAAGGATTGAATACGAGAAGAAGATTCACTCTTGTTTCTCATTAAATAGACCCATACAGCTCGTGACTTGTCATCAACAATAGTAAGGAAGTAGGGCTGGGAATCCAGACCAAACCGTATGGGAAACCGCGGTCTAGACCGTATCGTATGGTTTGGTCTGGACAGTGAGACCATAACTATGGTCTGGTCTGGTTTGCTGTCTCCTTCTTTAGTGCGTGGTCTGAAGTGGTCTGGACCGCGGTCTACCGCAGTAAACCGTAACAGACCGCGATACACTACCTACTACCTTGGACAAAAATAACACTAAATTGAACCTCCATATGTGTATTTGAAGAAGAAAGTTAGTTGATTCTTCATCTAGTTGAGAGCCAACAAATTGAAAAATGATCGCTTATATGTTATCTCCTTATCAAAGTACCACCCAAAAATTAGAAAGACTCATAAATAATATTCACAGATAATGTCTAGACTACGGAGTCGATAAAAATTAAACACTACAAAAAAATTCGTTCACCTTGATGAGATAAGGAAAATTATTGAGAGATATGCGACCATATTAATGGTTCGAAATTACCTCGACGTCATCAAAAAGGTTATCAACTGGGAGAACCTTCAGATCACTCGAGAGAGGAGAGAAGCGATAGCACAAAGAGGAATATGGAAATAAGGCTATTTGAAAATTGAAAAAACCCACTTCTATCCTCATATTTATTCTCATTTAATACGATCACAATTTTTTTTTTGTTTCACTAGCATATTGGTCACTAGATTTTTTTTATAGATACCGGTGAAGGGTTGGAGGGCGAACAAGAGTTAATTTTTTTTAACATGGTCTGTTTGGTCCAGACCATACCGGACCACACCGCACAGGTGTGGTCTGGTCTGGACCGTATAGTATATGGTCTGGTCCATGGTCTGTGTTCCAACCTCTCGGTCTGGACCACAGACCGTATCTATGGTCTGGTCTGGACCGGACCGCACCGTTTCCCACCCCTATAAGGAAGTAACGATATCCTTTATGCGAAACAGAAGACACAGAACCCCATATATCAATCTGTATTAAGTCAAAGACTTCCGAAGAAACTGTCTCACTAGAAGGAAAAGCCAAACACTTGTGTTTAGCAAAATGACATGTTTCACAATGGGAAATGTTTTCAACAAAGACACTAGGTACATACTCATGGAGTGCTTTGGTCTTCTAAAGTGATGGGTGACCTAGTATCCAATGCCAGAGATCAAAATGTTGAGGATTGAAATTGAGAGAAACAGAGTTGACTTGAGCTGAGGTTTCTTCAGACGGTAAGAGATGTTAAATACCCCTAATCTCGCGAGCAAAACCAATCGTCTTGAGGGTGAGACAATCCTGAAGATCATAATGGTTTGATGGAAAGATAAGTGAGAAGGGATTGGATCGGGTAAGCTGACTCACGGAAACTAAATTGAAAGTGAAGGAAGGAACATAAAGAACTTGGTGAAGAACAAGACCAGTAGGCAACCTCACAGAACCAATATGAGTAACAGAAACACGTGTCCCATGGGGCAAAGTCACATACACATTCTTCACAGGCCGATAGTAAACAAAGAAGCTCAAGCCACACGCAATATGGCCTGTTGCACCGGTATCAAGCAACCAAATGGTTCTGAACTCTAATGGACTATGCTGATAACTAGAAGTTAGTACAAACTTACCAGCATAGTTGGGATGTGGTGAAATGTGCTAGGCAACAGAGTGTACTTGATGTTGTATGGTGTGATAAGAAGAGATTGGTGAAGTCGATGACGAGCACAATCCAATTACACGCTGTAAACGAGCAATGTCCTCCAATGGAAGTCGAAGAGTGGCCAAGTTACTCTAATTTTCTGCTGAAACTTGCGGTGGGAAAGCCGGTAAAACACTAGTTGAGTTGTGAGTATCGAAACTCTGTCCACCTGAAGTAGCAGCAGCGTATGAAGAGCAACTTCCAGGTACAGAACCACGACCAATTGCATATTGAGGGTAGCTTGCAGGAACAGAACCACCAACATGTTCTGCCCGCCGTTTGTTCTTCAGTTTGGGACAATCATACTTTAGGTGACCCTCTTGTTTGAAATTCTCTTTTTCTTTGCCCAAAGAAGCAGCAAGAGCCATTAAGGAAGAATCGCCTCCCACAGGAAGCAAGTTAGAGACCATACTGGCATTTTGCCTCTCTCGTTGAAGAGCAAAAGCAAAGGCTGCTCGAGAATCAGGGAGTGGCTTCATCATCAACAAATTTGTCTTAACACCTTCAAAATTTTCTCCTAAACCTTGTATGAACTTCAGTACAAAAGAATTGCTACAAACTTGTTGGAATTTCACATAGGTTGCACAAGGATTACAAGCATAGGCAGGATAGACTTCGTATTGAGAAAGATAATCCCAAAACATCTTCAATTTGGTGTAGGAATCACTCACCGAGAGAGAACCTTGGTTTAGAGAATAGAACTTGGTTTGAAGCTCTGTGATGCGGACAAAATCATCCTGCCCAAACCGCTCCTTGAGGTCATCCCGTAAGCCTTGAGCCATTTCTATAGTGTTGACATTGTCGATTAAGGTTGGATCAAGAGAGCTCATCAAAGCGAATAGAATAGCGGTGTTGCTCTGGTCTGAAGCATCAAATGCTGGGTTTGTCGGAGATGGTGGAGGTAAGGTTCCATTAATGAAACCTAATTTGTTGCGGCTTCGAAGAGGTAATCTGACAGTGCGACACCATGAGTGATAGTTTTTTGGGGTCAATTTGAGTGGAATCACCAAAGATTCGTTGGGATTAATATAGTAGGGGTTTGGTAGCTTTGAAAAGAGCAGATCGTTCCTCAGAGCCTCCATGTCCGCTGCCACGGAAAGAATCGTGAACGCGAGGAGACGGCGACGGTGTGTTCAGAGTGTTGCTGCCGGCCGCAGGCTATGATACCATAAGAGGTTTCTGAACACAAAGGATTTGGAGAAATTGATACCCTTCTCATTCACAGCCACAAGGCAATATATCTGTACAAACGAACAAAAGAACATTTTTACAGAGGAAGCTAAAACTCTGACTCTACTGCTATTTACTAGTTATGTTGATCTATACAGAGTTGGGCATCAAACGATGCCGTATGAAGCTTCTTCAAGTAGTATCGTGTGAAGCAGGTCACTGTTTTCAATCCCACTCTTGGTACTAGACCTTTATCATGATAGAGAGAACAATTTATTCGCTTTACCCAACATTTCTCATGTTGGAGAATTCTCTCTACTCCAGCCGCCGCTAGAGAGCAGATGCAGGAACAGGCGGCAGGGGAGAGACTTTAGGGAGACCTGTGATGCTTCTTAATTAGTTTAGGGGTTTTGTTTTTCTAATTAATTGATATTTGATATAAAAAATAAAATGATTAAAAATAAAATTAGGACTAAATTACGGACAATTGGATAATTTTCCAACCTATTTTACGGTCACTTAACAAATAATTAGATGGAAGGGTTAACTTGTTACAATTTAATATTAGAAGGGTATGTTTGTGCCAAAATTTAGTAGAGTTGTACTCATAATCGACTTTAATATATTGGATTCTTGAGCTTTATGTGAGTATCCCATGATATGTTTAAGCCGATTGGTGCTATTTTAGGGCTCGTGAACCCGAGAATGGTTGAAAAACCATTCCTAGCTATTGCCATGAGTTTGATGTATTACAAGTGAAGAAAGCACAAAAAACAGAGAAATAGCACATGCAAACAATCGAGCTCGAATCGTTGGTGAAATAACAATTGGTCCTGGCCTTCACTAAGGGTCGAATAATTGGAGCGCTAGCTTGTTAGCGTGGAAACTTCTGGACCAGACTCAATTATTGGGAGCGGGGGAGATTATTGAAGGAATTGGGCCTAGCCTATTACTAGGGGAAAGAATGGGCAGCTGGGGTATTGGTGTCCGGGACGAGGAAGTTAAGAAGAGAAGAGGGAATTATTTGCGCCATCTTCTTTGTCTTGGAGTGGAGAGAGGTGATAGAGAATAGCAGCGCGGAGCAGAGGCGACTTGCAAGAAGACTGCAGACTGTAGAGGACGAGTGGCGATTGGAGTGAGAGGAAAGTTGAATCGAGCAACATCCGATAATACAATATTTTTTTCCTTTTGCTTTGATTCTTGACATGATGATTATGAATATGTTTGTTGTTGGACGTCGAGCGCGAGACGATCAGGCAAAGTCTACAGTTTTTCGGCCTTTTTGTTTCTTCAAATTCGGCACCTGCAAAAACCCTTCGTCGACTTTTCTGCCGAGAACAAGTGAGAAAGAAAAACCAATATATTGTTTAATCGAAAATGCAACAGAGATGATGCGCTTCTCGTGTTTAAGACACTATTCCAAAACCAAAGGCTGCAACAAAAAAAATTAGCAAGTCTACTAAAAAAGAATCTTCCCCCTGACTCTTAAGCCACTGTAAAAATCATATTCCGGGTCAGACTCGTATTCCAAAATATCCCCGTCAGAGAAGTTGGAAAAGTTATCGGCCCGAGAAAACTTATCCCCTGCATCATCTTCAGGTTCCACCGTTTCTTCAGGCTCCTCACGAGCTCTACAGGCTCGTCAGGTTCTTCCGCCCTCTTGACTGCTGCATTTTCGATGGTGGTAATGATTCGAATGCTCTTCCCTGCAGTTGTTGGGCGAGATGGCTCCCCCTTGCTCCTGTCTGTCAGCTTCCTTTTACCTTTGTCCTTTGATATACCTTCCAAGCATCTGAGAACAGCGGCGAGATCAGCTTCGGTGTTGCGAACTGCTTCAACCCTTTCTCCCCCTTGAGCACTCTGAAGCTTGCGAACACCAATTGAAGCATCTACGCGACGAAGGACATGGTGTGCGCGGAGAGTGTCAAGCACGTTAACGGATGAGGCCTTGTCCTCAAGATCTATCCCTAGACAACGAAGATATCAAGATATTTGGGGGGGTGGGGCAAAGGGAAGGTAGCCGCCATTGTGACGATCACTGTAGAGCATCATATGATGGAGCATAAGAAGAGGATAGCTAAGCTTGTGGTAGGAGACAACATTGGACATGATCCAGAGATCGAGGGGAGTGACCGTCGAACGATTGACAGTTCGAGGAAGAAAGATCCGGGTGATGTAAAAGTGCAGCACCTTCAACTCATCAGGAAGACAACTCAGTGTTGTAGAATTAGATCCAGTGGTCTCAATTGAGGATAAGCGAGAGATAGCAGCTCGAGGACTAAAGTGATACCGATAAAAATCATTTTCACTCAGTACCTCACGACCTTCGGTGGAGAGGTGCAGCATCTGAGACAGGAGCTCCACGGTGATGGTGTGACCATACACCATAGTGGTCATAGTTGGTGGACCATGGCGGTTGATGCGCCGCATGTAAGCATAAAAGTTTTGAACTGCCTCTGGACAGTAGGTGAACCTCCTACCTACCAGGAGATAATCCCAGCCAAGGGCACTGATCAGCTCCTCGACGCGCAATTGATATCGATTGAACGTGGCTGGCTCAATCGTATATGAAGGGATGAGGCGCCTGTGGCGAAAATAGCACAGATACTGAGGATAATCGCGAGGTTCAGGACACACATTGTTTGTGAAGACTGATGAGCGGGTTGTGACGAGTGAGAGCTAGGGATTGAAAGTCATGCTGGGTATAGTGGGGTTTGCAAGAAGGTGAAATGTCTGAGAAAGTGGGATGGAATGTGAAGAATGAGAAGTACGAAAGATCTTATAAGCTCAAAGGAGTGGTTGATGAGACAAATTAGAGTAAAATTAAGGTAGGCAAAGATTGATCTGATTTGAGGCTTGGGGAAGAAGATGGACATGGATATAGAAGGAAAGAAGAATATTTTCTAAGCACATCACAGCAATGGGGTTCCACTAATTAGAACTAATGAAAATAACACTTACCAAAACAGAGCACACCATAAAGCTACAGCTGAGAACTTACCTGAATTGTGAAGAGGAGCTGTCGGCTAATTGAATTTGAAATACTTACCAGATTCGCTAAGCACCTTTCACAAAGGGACAAAATTTCATTCAAGCAAACCAGACCTAGTTCTCTACGAATGAGGGAAAAATGATATGCTCCTAGGGGTTTTGTGAAAATGTCAGCCCATTGGAAGCGAGTAGGAATAAACTCAAGATTAATCTTATTACTCTCCACAAGTTCCCTAATGAAATGGTAACGAACGTCTATATGCTTGGTTCTTGAGTGCTGAATGGGGTTCTTTTGCTATGTTAATAGCACTAGTGTTGTCACAAAGCACAGAGAGAGAATCGAACTCTAGACCGTAGTCCTGGAGCTGATATTTAATCCAAAGCATCTGAGTTAAGCAAGACCCAGCAGCGACGTATTCTGCTTCAGCTGTGGAGAGAGCTACCGAATGCTGTTTTTTGCTAAACCAGGAAATGAGCGACGTTCCCAAAAAATGACATGCTCCCGAGGTGCTCTTACGGTCAGTTAGGCTGCCGTCAAAATCAGAATCACTGTATCCTATGGGTGCTAGACTCGAGCTATTAGAATACCAAATTCCCCAAGAAGCAGTTCCTGCTAAATAACAAAAGATTCGTTTTACTGCAGTTAAGTGACTTTCTTTGGGAGAACTTTGAAACCGGGCACACAAGCACACAGAAAACATTATGTCTGGTCGGCTGGCTGTCAGATATAACAAATAGCCAATCATGTATCTATACAAATTCTCATTGATACTAGTACCAGACTCATCCCTATCTAATTTCACATTTGTAGCCATGTCGGTGGTGGCTGGTTTCAAGTTGCCTAGATCAAAACGCTGTAACATGTTACTCAGGTACTTGCTTTGATTAATAAAAATTCCCTTAGGAATTTGATTAACCTGAAAGCCTAAGAAATAAGTGAGCTCTCCCATGAGACTCATTTCAAATGACTCTTTCATAATGAGTTCAAATTCCCGACACGGATCTAGATCAAAGGAACCAAAAATGATATAATCCACATACAACTGAACTAGCAGAATTTTTGACCCCTTGGATTTAGTAAAAAGAGTTTTTATCAACCGAACCCCTGTGAAAACCATTGCTCACTAAGACATTACTTAATTTGTCGTACCAAGCCCTGGGGGCTTGTTGCAAACCTTAAAGCACCTTATTTAATTTGTAAACATGATTCGGATACCTGAAGTCTTCAAAACCTGGAGGTTGAGACACGTAGACATCTTCCTTTAACTAACCATTTAAAAAGGCGATTTTCACATCCATTTGAAAAAGCTTAAACCTAGTAGAACTAGCAAAAGCACACAACATTCTGATAGCTTCTAGTCTAGCTACAGGAGCGAAGGAATCTTCAAAATCTATCCCTTCCTCTTGGCAATAGCCTTGAGCTACGAGACGAGACTTGTTTCTGATTATCACTCCTAAGTCACTAGATTTATTTTTATAAATCCATTTAGTTCCTATGACATTCACACCTTCTGGTTTTGGAACCAAATCCCATACCCTGGCCCTTTCAAACTGATTCATCTCATCATGCATGGATTCCAACCAAAACTCATCAAGTAAAGCTTCTTTTGCTGTCTTAGGTTCAATCAAAGACACGAATGCATTCTGACTAGTAGAAGCTTTGGAACGAGTGATCACACCTTCGCTAAGCTTACCTATAATAGGTGATGGAGGATGTCGCTTCCTGATGTGTGGAGGAGGCTGGAACTCTTCAGGTTCTGTTTCTGCCTTGTCATTAATTTCATTTTCTGCTTCCTTTTCTTGACTAGCAGCAGCCTTAGTGTCAGTAAGAATGTTTCTTTTTCCAAGTCCCAAATCGTCATCATCTGTTTCTTCTAAAATTTCACACACAGATTCGTCAAAGATAACATTTATGGACTCC